CAGTTTTCTCTTTTATGTTTGTATGATTTCATTTTTCTAGTTTTTTGCCCAAAAGTTGTCCTTTGTTTCTGTATAATAAAGAAGACCAACTAACAGATCTATGTTTCTATAGCATATAAAATTACTTGGTTTTTTCTTTCGTAAAATTTTTATTTTTATTCTTTTTTTTTTTTTTGAGACAAGGTCTTGCTTTATTGCTGAGGCTAGAGTACAGTGACTCTTCACAGGCACAATCATAGTACACTACAGCCTCAAACTCCTGCCCTCAAGCAGTCCTCTTGCCTCAGCCTCTTGATTAGCTGGGACTACAGAAAATTACTTGTTTTTCAGCCAATGACATTTACTCTGTATATATGTCTGTATATGTATACAAATAATCAGGCATGAGAATATAACCTTCCCTCTTGTTTTCTACTACTACTTTCCACTCCTCCTTTTCCTTGCACAATGTTATTTTCAGTGCTGCCTTTGGACTTAAGAGTGAGATTCATTGATGAGAATTTAAGTATTTTAGGCTTGAAAAAAAATTCATCTCCCGCTTGGTCATTTCTGTTATAAGCAAGGAGATTAAGGGCATGAATAGGATGCTGACTTATCTTTGCCTTCAGTATCTCTCCCCCTCTTCTCCACACACAAAAATGTGCTCCAGACTGCTCTTCACATCCTCCTTCAGGGCGTATCCTGGATCTAAAGACTGGAACAGTGAAAAAGGAAGGTCAGCAGTCTTCCATGAGAATGTGTATGGGCTCAAGGAGATCATTTATTTGCCGAATGAGGTGAGTGTCAAGCTGAGGATCGTGATTTGGTATAGGAAGAATCTTATTTTATTTTATTTTTACCCATGCTAGTGTATGGTATAGGAATAATCAAAAGCTGAGAGTTTTATTTCTGTCAGAGGAGTTAAGTTGGATTAGCTCCAGTGGATTAAATTTAACTCTCAATACCCAGATGGATTGTAACATAGAATAAAGTATTCGGTAAGAGGACTAACGTTTCTGAACATGCCAGGCACTATGATAGGTGATTTATGTCTGTCATCTTATTTCATCCTCACAATTGTCCTGCAGGGTAAGCTTCATGGTTACCATTTTGCAGACAGAAAAACAGATATAAAGACATGAACTTGGCTGGGTGCAGTGGCTCAAGCCTGTAATCCCAGCACTTCGGGAGGCCGAGGCGGGTGGATCACCTGAGGTCAGGAGTTTGAGACCAGCCTGGCCAACATGGTGAAACCCTGTCTACTAAAAAAATACAAAATTAGCTGGGCTTGGTAGCGTGTGCCTGTAATCCCAGCTACTTGGGAGGCTGAGGCAGAAGAATTGCTTGAACCCAGGAGATAGAGGTTGCAGTGAGCCAAGATCATGTCATTGCACTCCAACTTGGGCAAAAAAAGCAAAATTCTGTCTCAAAAAAAAAAAAAAAGAAAGAAAAGAAAAGAAAGAAATGAACTTCCCACGATTACATAGTGTTTGATACAGGATTTTGTTTTAATTCATGGTAGTCTGACTACAAAACTTGTGCTTTTTCCCCGTGAAAACGAAAGGTAATATCCATTTTCTCAGATCATTTATTCTTTTTTTTTAATTAGAAATTTGAGACTTCCTATGTCTAGAGTTAATATCCATTTTCTCAGGTCATTTATTCTTTTTTTTAATTAGAAATTTGAGACTTCCTATGTCTAGAGTTAGTGTTTAGTGTTTATAAATTATATACTGTACATTTAGGATTCTGTAGAAGAGATAGTGGTCCTTTCTTTTCTTTTCTTTTTTTTTTTTTTTTTTTTTTTTTTGAGACAGAGTCTCACACTGTTGCCAGGCTGGAGTACAGTGGCTCAGTCTTAGCTCACTGCAACCTCTGCCTCCCAGGTTCAAGCAATTCTCCTGCCTCAGCCTTCCAAGTAGCTGGGATTACGGGTGCCCACCACCACACCTGGCTAATTTTTTGCATTTTTAGTAGAGACGGAGTTTTACTCTTTTGGCCAGGCTGGTCTTGAACTCCTGACCTCGTGATCCACCTGCTTCGGCATCCCAAAGTGCTGGGATTACAGGCGTGAGCCACCGTGCCTGGCCCGATGGTGGTCCTTTCTGTACAGATACAAAAGGCATGTCATGGTCACGAAATTCAGGTTATGTAATGGAAATTGACTACATTGTACTGAGAGGATGGTTGCTAGAAATTATGGGTAGGATATTAAAGGTTTCCTTGGGGAGTCACAAAATTGAACATTAGGTGGTTTAGTGATTTATTTATTTATTTTAGACAGTGTTGCTCTGTTGCCCAGGCTGGAATGTAGTGGCGTGGTCTTGACTCACTATAACCTCTGCCTCCTGGGTTCAGGCGATTCTCATGCCTTGGTTTCCTGAGTGGCTGGCCTATAGGCACATGCCACTGTAGCCGACTAATTTTTATATATTTAGCAGAAACAGTGTTTCACCATGTTGGCCAGGCTGGTCTCGAGCTCTTGACCTCAAGTGATTTACCTGTCTTGGCCTCCCAAAATGCTGAGATTACAGACCTGCACCTCTGCACCCAGCCTGGTTTAGTAATTTAGAGTAGCTTCTAGATTCGGACTGCTGGATTTTGTTTTAATCCGTATTATTTTATGGATTTGAATTCTAGCTTTGATGCTGTCTTCTGAAACCTTGGATGATTACATGACTACATCATCTCACATTGGAGATAATACTGACCTTATAAAGTTGTTATGAAGATTAGGTGAATTAATATATGTATAGATATTTAGAACAGAGCGTGATACATATTAACCCTATGGAAGTTTTATTTTGTTTTAAAGAATGGGGAGAGGGAAAGTAGCATTGAAGAAACTATCCCAACATGTGGACATGGCTAATGCAAAGACATAGGCAAGAGCAAGATAATAATGAAATGTAGCAATTACCTTAAGTTGTGGCTAATGTAGAGCAGGAGTAAGCAAACCACAGCCCTTTATTTGTAAATAACATTTTACCGGAGCATCGCCATGCCCATATTTTTACATATTATCTATGGCTACTTTCATGCTATAGATAGTTGACTAGTTTGCAGCAGACTGGCCCACAAAGCTGAAAATATTAACTATCTGATCCTTTACAGAAAAGGCTTACCAACTCTTGATGTTGAGAATATTTGCATTTGAAAAACATATGGAACATTTTAACTTCAAATTCTAGGACAGTTAAAAGTTCTAGAAATACCAAGCCTGATTTATCTTTATCCTTCCTTATTAGTAGCATTACCAATTTTCTATGTCTAATTGTATCCAGAGCCTGTTATTCTGCTGTTACGATGGAAAGTTCTTTAATAATGCAGCCTGATTGCTTTTAATCTCTTTGTTCTTTGAAACAGGTGTGGCAGTAGTGCTGTGGACCCAGTTTCTGTGAATAGGCTGAGCTTTGTGAGGAACAGATGCAGGTGAGGTCCTAAGCCAGGCGTCCCCAAACTTTTTACACAGGGGGCCAGTTCACTGTCCCTCAGACCGTTGGAGGGCCGCCACATACTGTGCTCCTCTCACTGACCACCAATGAAAGAGGTGCCCCTTCCTGAAGTGCAGCGGTGGGGGCCAGATAAATGGCCTCAGGGGGCCGCATGCGGCCTGCGGGCGGTAGTTTGGGGACGCCTGTCCTAAGCAGTGAAAACCAAAGGGATGGCCAAATACCTGTAGAGATCATCACTTTTTTACCTATCTTACTGTAGTCATTCCTTCAGCAGCCTTCACTTTCATCTCTCACCTCCCAGTTACTTTTTTTCTGGCAATATTTTCCTAAAACGTCTCCTGAAAATCCTGTTTAAGGAAGTTGCTCTTCTATTTTACCTACTTTTCTCCTACTGCATACCTTTTGTTACTTTACTTTGGCAAGGGTAAAATGTGGTGGTCGTTTTTAGGTGGGAAAGATGGTTATCCTGTTTTCTAAACTCCTAAGAGCCTAAACTTAAAGGAACTAAGCCAGCATTGCCCTTTGAGTTTTACTTGGTAGATTTTTTTTTTTTCTAACTCCTGTAACTCTTCTAGGAATGGACTTGGCTCTGTAAAGGATGGGGAACCTCACTTCGTAGTGGTCCACTGCACAGGCTACATCAAGGCCTGGCCCCCAGCAGGTAAGAAAGTGATGTCAGGGACCGGTCCGGGACGGCACGTCTGCCGGGGGTCTCTCGACCTGCAAGAGGGTCCCAAAACCTGCAAGAGAGCGTGCGCTTAAAGAAATAAAAAAAAGACAGAAAGAAAGCGGGGGTCTGGAGGGCTGGATAGGCTGTGCCTAAACAGCAGCCTTTATTTTTCAAAGGCCAGGAATAAATACACTTTCTTTGCTCTGGTTTACGGCATTGCAAGAGGAAATGCAAATCTATACCTTACATGGCCTATACAATAGAGAAGTCAGATACACAATCAGTGGTTGTAAAAAGTAATAGAATTTCCTGTGATCACAAAGCTTATTTACATCCAGACGTTATTCCTCATGGCTGCAGGTATTTTTGGTTTGATCCTGTTTTAGAACTCAGATGTGAAAAGGTTTTCTGGTTTTGCTCATCAGAATATCTTTTAACCAGATTCTCCTTTGTCTGCTCCTGACTCAACTTATCTCAACTCCCCCATTCAGGAGTCTCTGAGCCTGGGATCAAAGCCATCCTGTATGGTGGCATTTGCTTTGCAAATATCCCCACAGCTAAACCATTATCTAGGGTACAAGGCAGTCATGCAAGTAAAGAAAAGGTTAGGCCAGGCGAGTTGGCTCACGCCTGTAATCCCAGCACTTCGGGAGGCCGAGGCGGGTGGATCACGAGGTCAAGAGATCGAGACCAACGTGGTCAACATGATGAAACCCCGTCTCTACTAAAAATACAAAAAATTAGCTGGGTATGGTGGCGCGTGCCTGTAATCCCAGCTACTCAGGAGGCTGAGGCAGGAGAATTGCCTGAACCCAGGAGGCGGAGATTGCAGTGAGCTGAGATCGCGTCATTGCACTCCAGCCTGGATAACAAGAGCGAAACTCCGTCTCAAAAATAAAGAAAAGAAAAGAAAAGGGCTTTTCACAAGATGGCGCCGAAAGCGAAGAAGGAAGCTCCTGCCCCGCCTAAAGCCGAAGCCAAAGCGAAGGCTTTAAAGGCCAAGAAGGCAGTGTTGAAAGGTGTCCACAGCCACAAAAAAAAGAAGATCCGCACGTCACCCACCCTCCGACGGCCCAAGACACTGCGACTCCGGAGGCAGCCCAAATATCCTCGGAAGAGCGCCCCCAGGAGAAACAAACTGGACCACTATGCTATCATCAAGTTTCCGCTGACCACTGAGTCTGCCATGAAGAAGATAGAAGACAACAACACACTTGTGTTCATTGTGGATGTTAAAGCCAACAAGCACCAGATCCAACAGGCTGTGAAGAAGCTCTATGATATTGATGTGGCCAAGGTCAACACCCTGATTCGGCCTGATGGAGAGAAGAAGGCATATGTTCGACTGGCTCCTGATTACGATGCTTTGGATGTTGCCAACAAAATTGGGATCATCTAAATGGAGTCCAGCTGGCTAATTCTAAATATATGTATATCTTTTCACCATAAAAAAAAAAAAAAAAAAAAAAGAAAAGAAAAGAAAAGGTTAAAGCTATTCTTAAAGAAAGAATCATAAAGATTAAAAGCAGAAACTGGTTGCTGGTAGGGAGTCACTTGGTCTAGCAGCACCGCATAGTTTAGGCCCAAACAATATCGTGGTTGATACTAGAAACTGATCATCCATCTTTCAGTTCCTTCTTCCCGATAGCTCGACTGCCTCCAGTAGGAAACTGTGTTTGGGATAAAATTCACCGTATAGTGAGACCCATGCCTTTTGGGGGTCTCAAACGGGAATGTTCCCCACAAAATGAGATAGTAAATATTTCCCCTTGGTACATTTGATTCCTCACAGAGTCCATGAAGCTAATATTTATTGTATACCTGGTATATGAAATGTACTTTCATATAAGATGAAAGAAAATAGGAAAAGAAAATGCACAATCTTTCCCTTCCATTATTGAGCTTTTATTCCAGTTGAGGAGATAGATTACTCAGACTGGAAAATAATATTGGCTTGTGTCACAGAATGTGGTTTTTAAATGCACAAATTTATATGAACATGTGTTCTAAGCATTTGTTGCAAAGAAATGTAGACATCGAATGCAGTTAACTTGAGAAAGCTTTCTAAAGTTAAAGCAAGACTTTGAGGGAAAAGAGGAAAATGCCTTTAGATACTGTAATAACTTATCAAGAGAATATTCTCTGCAAAAGCTTTAAATCAAGCTTTCAGCAGATTAGCTTTATTAGAATTTGAGGTCAAACAAGGAATGTGAGAGAGGTGATTGGGTTGCAGGATCAGCGTTTTAAGCTGGCTTATCAGTTTCCAAATCTTAGCAACTTTATTCGCTGCTGCATGGGTATTATTGGAAAATAGGGGTTTTGGGGAGACAGAGACTAAGAAAAGAGAAGCAAGGTGATATGTCTTGGAAAAAGAGGTTAAACTTTGGACATGGAAAAACCTGGGTAGGATTCCTGTCATTGTTGTTTATTAGTGGCATCACCTAGGGTAAGTTGCTTGACCTTTATAAAGCTGTTTTCTCATCTGTACTTCAGAGATAGTTCATCCTATATAGGGTTTTTGTGAGGATTAGATTTAATTTAAGGAAAGCATTCAGCCCAGTGCCTGACATATGGCAGGTACCCAATAAAAGTAGTTAATGTAACTTTTAAAAATTTAACTGAGGTGGTAATGACATTTGAACTACTTAGTCTATATACTGTATAAACCATACATTTAAAGTATGTGATCTTTCTTACCTCTGTGTATCATCAAGGAACACTATTTTTCTGGATAAAAAGAACATAACTATGCAAAAAAATAGGGGAGAAATGCAGTCTTTTTCCCTTTCTGTGTAAAACGTTGATTTCTCTCTTTTCCAAGGTACATGAATAACTGTTGATGGTATAACTGCATTTTGGGTTGTTTGCTAACTTTGAAAGTCACAGATTGGGCAAAGCATATATTTTCTGCCTGTAATGTGGTCATAGAATGGATGTCTTCATATGTACCTGATTTGGCCAGCATAGTTTTTTTTAGAATACTTTGGGTAGGACTTGTATTTTCCAGTTTACTATAATTAATATGGGTAAAATGTAGGAATTAATATATATGTAAATACTTAAAACAATGACTGGCATATATGTTACATTTTATATGATTATTTATTCTTATCATTTATCATTCTCTATTGCTTTATGCTTAGCCTCTTCATAACTGATCTATTTTTGTTTGTTTGTTTGTTTTTTGAGAGGGAGTCTCGCTCTGTCACCCAGGGTGGAGTGCAGTGGCAGAACTCGGCTCACTGCAGTCTCTGCCTCCTGGGTTCAAGTGATTCTCTCACCTCAGCCCTACTCAAGTAGCTGGGATTACAGGCATGCGCCACCATGCCCAGGTAATTTTTGTATTGTTAGACTGGCCTCGTCTCCTGACCAACCTGAGCTCTTGACCTCAAGTGTTCTGCCCATCTCGACCTCCCAAAGTGCTGGGATTACAAGCATGAGCCACTGTGCCCGGCCCATAAATAGGTCTATTTTGAATCTTGTCTGAGTTAGAAGGCATTTGAGTTGGAGGTCACTGTTAAATCTTTTAACCTCACGTTTTTGAAGGTGTTTCCCTCCCAGATGATGACCCAGAAGCTGGCCAGGGAAGCAAGTTTTGCCTAGTGGCCATTGGCAGATTGCAGGCAAGTATGAATTTTCCATGTTTATGTCCCTTTCAATTAGAAACAGTCTTCAGGACTCATTTCTGTTAATTTTCCTTTAATTTCTGAATACAAATAAAGAATTTTATCAAACTATAAAAATTTGAAGGAATACGGCATTTATCGTGACCATTGCTGTTCTTGGATTTAAGTAGAAGTTGAAGAGTGTAAGAGAAGGAAGATCTTTTCTCCCCTTGTCTTTTTTATTTTTAGCTTTACCATGCTTAATTTTCTATTTCCAGTTAATTTCCTTTGCCCCATACAAATGAAGAAAGATTCTTTTCATTTTATCATTACCTGACTAACAATAGAAAAGTAGAATTATTTTGATTCTTTTCATAAGTATAGCTAAGTTTCGTGGTTACTTATACCATATTAATCTGAGTAATGAGCTCAGCCTAGCCAGATGAAAGTATGTGGATTATGGGTTGAATAAATTTTATTCTTACTTTATTAACTTGGTAAAGTGTACATACGTGGGAGTAGAGCTAGACCTTATGCCTTGTCTTAATTGTGATTGTCACTTTTTTTTCCTTTTTGGATAAAATGTGAAAGTTTAGAAGTTCCTAAAACTGGTAATCTTAGTCTATGCAAAAGACCACTAGGAGATAGGAAATGTGTATGTAAAGAATGGTATCATTTGACCTCATTTTCATCTCTTCACTCTCAGGTAACTAGTTCTCCCAACTGTACAGACATGAGTAACGTTTGTCAGCCAACAGAGTTCATCTCCCGACACAACATTGAGGGCATCTTCACTTTTGTGGATCACCGCTGTGTGGCTACTGTTGGCTACCAGCCGCAGGTGAGGAGCTGGAGCTGTGCATCACTAATACTTAGATCTCAGTTTTCCTTTGGCTATGTTGAGATTATGTAATCAGATAATTCCTAAGATAGCCAAAACATACCAACCTCAGCTGAGAAAAAGAGATAATCATATTCTGTTAGTACCTAAATTGATTTTCAGGTTCCTGTTAAGACTATCATCTCATCTAGAGAAATATGGCTTGTGAAAACAGATGGGAGAAGCAGGTACAAATATGTATTTGTTTTTTGTTATTGATATTAATACAGATAATTATCCAAAGGTACTCATATTAATTAGTTATACCAGTATAGCCACATTTAGATAATTCATTTAATTATCTAAATGAGTAATAGCCCATAAAACATGTAGATTTAGCACCAGTTATTATAATTTACTCATGCAATAGACCAGTTAGCCATCCCTGAATTGATTCATCATACGAGCTTTTAAAACTGTTGGGGGAAGGAGGGACTTCTGGCTGTGGCTATGTGAAAGAATTTGGTGAAAAAGAGGTCTTGAAAATAAAGAACAAGGAGAATTTACACTACCTGATTTAACACTAACTATAAAGCTATTATCAAGACAGTGTGGTGGTGTAAGGCTAGATATGTAGAGCAATAGACCAGAATAGAGTCTATTCTTTTTTTTTGAGACAGAGTCTTGATTTGTTACCCAGGCTGGAGTGCAGTGGTGTGATCTGTGCCCATTGCAACCTCCGCCTCCCGGATTCAAGTGATTCCTCTGCCTCAGCCTCCTGAGTAGCTAAGATTACAGACACATGCCACCACACCCAACTAATTTTTGCATTTTTGTAGATATGGGGTTTCACCATATTGGCCAGACTGGGCTTGAACTCCTGACCTCATGATCCTGCCCACCTCGGCCTCCCAAAGTGCTAGAATTACAGGCATGAGCCACCATGAGTCTATTCTTAGACTTGTCAACTCATTTTCAGCAGAGGTGCGAAGACAATTCGATGGATAAAAGAAGTATTTCTAACAAATGGAACAATTGGATATCTATATGCAAAAAAAAAACAAAAAAAACCCAAAATGAAAACACATAGATCTTACCTCATATACAAAAATCAGCTCAAAGGTCTAAATATGTAAGAGCTAAAGTTACAAATAGACTTCTAGGAGAAAATCTTTGTGATTTCGAGTTAGACAAAAGATTTCTTACATAACACTGAAACCATGATTCACAGAAGAAAAAATGATAAATTTGATGTAATTATAATTAAAATTTGCCCTCTTTAAGGATATTAAGAAAATGAAAAGACCAGACATAAATGGAGAGAAAATAGTTACAAACCATATATCTGAAAGAAGATTTGTACCGGGAATATATAAATAACTCATTAAGACAGACAGCTGGTACATTAGGAGAAATACCTAATATAGGAGACAGCAGGGGATGGACGCAGCAAACCACCATGGCATGTGTATTCCTATGTAACAATCCTGCACAACCTGTACATGTACCCCAGAACTTACAGTATAATAAACCGCTGGTTAAAAAAAGGGCACAAGCCGGGCGCAGTGGCTCAAGCCTGTAATCCCAGCACTTTGGGAGGCCGAGGCGGGTGGATCACGAGGTCAAGAGATCGAGACCATCCTGGTCAACATGGTGAAACCCCGTCTCTACTAAAAATACAAAAAATTAGCTGGGCATGGTGGCACGTGCCTGTAATCCCAGCTACTCAGGAGGCTGAGGGAGGAGAATTGCCTGAACCCAGGAGGCGGAGGTTGCGGTGAGCCGAGATTGCGCCATTGCACTCCAGCCTGGATGACAAGAGCGAAACTCCGTCTCAAAAAAAAAAAAAAAGGGCACAAGAGTAAATATGGGTTTATGCATATGAAAAGACACTCAACATCTTTTTATCATTAAGAAGGTGCAAATTAAAATCACAATGAGATGCCACTATATACCCACTAGAATGGCTATAATCAAAAAGTATTGGTGAAAATGTGTAGAAACTGGAACCCTCATACATTGGTGAT